CAATATACTTCACACCAGGTATCCAGTATTATCATGTAAGCAAAATAAAGCAATATGGTTGACTAATTTACTCATGAATTATTAATGAGTTTGAGTTAGCTCTATCAGTACTCAATCCTTATTGATTTTTTATTTATACTAGATAGAAGTTATAGTCAGAGTACAATTACATGTTGCAAAATGGAACCCGGACATACACTTACATGCATTATGCTCCCAGTATTCAACGATATCGAGTGATCGTCTGAAATTCAGGCTATAGGCTTTTCAATGTGATCTGATGCATGCTTCCATATTTTCCAACATAGACCCTCTTCATAAATGGCTGCCAATTAAAAATTCTTTTATGTGCATATAAATTGGCCCAACTAGCCTCGTACTCATGTTAAGATTTCAAAGGAATTTCTACTCAGAAACGAGGCTAGTTGGGCCAATTTATATGCACATAAAAGAATTTTTAATCGGCAGCCATTTATGAAAAGGGTCTATATAGGAGATTTAATGAGTCAAATTCTTAACTGATTAAAGCTTGCTCGATCTAGATTGAAATCACGAACGACATCCAGTTCTTACTTCCAATCATGGTCGCTATTATGGTCTCAAAATGGGTCGGAGATTTTGTTACTCATCCACTATACCATGCATTACTTGAGCTCAAGTGTATACCATTCCTCGACTCCGAGCCTGTCGTTTTTACTCATGGTGGGAGAAAAAAGTAAGATGTTTTATTATTTCTCAAACGTGGTGGTCCAGTGTAGATAGTATTCTACAATAAGCTGTCGTGGTTTGTGTCTGAACTACCTAAAAAAGATATCTCAAACATGGTGGTCCAGTGTAGATAGTATTCTACAATAAGCTGTCGTGGTTTGTGTCTGAACTACCTGAAAAAGATATCTCAAACGTAGTGGTCCAGTGTAAGTAGTATTCTACACGCGTTAAAATCTCACATCTTGTAGCAAGTCTGCCATCAAGTTGTTGTTCGCACTGCATGCTTGTCGCAAGTTGTCAACAAGTTTGGAACAAGCTGTTAACAACTTGTAACGACCTTGTTGATATTATCAGACTTGTTGCAAGGTTGTTCCAACAAGCCGATACAGTGATGATATAACAATATTGTTACAACCTTATGTCGTCAACCTTGTAACATTCTTGTTTAGCATGACTGTATCAGGCTTGTTAGAACAACCTTGTAACAAGTCTGATAATGTCATCAAACTTGTTACAAGTTGTTAACAGCTTGATCCAAACTATTGCAACAACTGGGAACAAGCAGTGCGAACTCCACTTGTCGACAGCTTGTGAGCAGATTTTAGCAACTTGTTTGCAGACCTGTAATAACTTGTGCATTTTTGCGTGTCTAGTAGCAATAATATAGTGAACCATGCACGTGAACATATTTGTCTCGCTCCTTGTTTAGTGTAAATTTGGAACTGTATCAAGCGAAAGATGTCATGTCTTCCCCGGCTGAGGTAGCGTATACAGTAATACATATGTTGACAAATTGTTGAATTGCAGTACGATAACAAGTCTGTTGTGCCCAACAACCTTGCAGCAAGTTGCCAAACAAACCAATGCCAACTTGTCAACAAGCTGGGAACAAGCAGTGCGAACACATCCTGTTGACAAGTTGTTGGAACAGCATTGCAACAAGTCTGCTGCCGTTTTTTACAACTTGTGGGTTTTTCCGTGTGTAGGTGCTACAGCTATCAGTGAGCGTACAACGTTTGGCCCGTGTGTTACTCGAGACTCCCCATGGCGGCTTTCCTATCGTGAAGCAGTTACGAGATGGCGATGAAGTTTTCATAGGACTTATTACAAGGTGAGTATATTGCGCTGCACCGGAATCGCAGGGTCGCAGGCTCGATTCCTGCCGGAGGGTTTGTGGTTTAGGGATGGATCCAGCATGATCCGGTAGGGTGTGTGTGTGGGGGTGCTCTGCCAGCTCTGGTGCCGAGTTATGTCGGCCATGTGTGCCGCCCACCCATCACCTTGCTTCACTACTGCAAAGTCTTGCTTGACTACTGTATTTGAATTGTAAGTGTTGTTCACAGTTTGCTTATCATCATGTTATTACTCAAATTACTGTATCTCATTTTGTCTCTAATAATTTTTTGCTTTATCATAAAAAATAGCACCCCGCCCCCTATGCCCAGGGCTAGGTGGGGGGGGGGGCAAGTCCATCCCTGTTGTGGTTGCATTTTTCGCAACAACTCTTCAAAACTACCTTTCAAAAACTCATTAATAAATCATGAGGAAAACACAAAGAAAAATCATCAGCGTGTCGTATCTTTATGTGATAGAGATTTCCCTTGATTTACATAAACTTTAACTTTGATTCTCTCGACTTACACAACGCATTTTTTGAAAATTACTTCGCCAATTAATGAACTTACTAGATCGATTGAAGCAATTTAAAACATTCGCAGTGCGTGTTTTATCAGACCTAAAGACACTCTGCTTCGCCTCGTATCTTTATATCTGATAAAACAGTCTGCTGCTCGTGTTTTGAATAGTACATAAAAGTATACCTGCTAAAATTTTCGCTGCAATTTTCGTAATACCAGGTTGGATATCAGTATTTTACTATCACACAAAAAATTCAGCAGTAACGAGCCTCACAATAGCGCCGATGGAGTACAAGACTACGAAATAACAGATATTGATTATGAAAAGGTATGTATTTATACTTCTTAAAAAAACGTTAATAATTCACGAGGGAAAGACGAAGGAAATCGCGTCGGTGGTGTTATTTTTATATGAACTTTAGCTTTTCATTTTCTCAGCATAGACAACATTGATTTTGAAAATTACATCGCCAATGAACTCCTAAGATGGGTCGTTTTTTAAGCCATTTAAAACACTCGCAGTTCGTGCTTTATCAAATATAAAACACTCGGGCACTTTTGCTCGTGTTTTAAAAAGTGCTTAATCTGTTTTTGAGCTCCCCTTGTATTTATTTCTGTAGCTGTCAGTGACGTATCTTCCTGATTCTGAGGACTTGAACAAGAAACTGCACGAATATGCTGACGAAGAACAGTATGCTAATATATTTATTGATTTGGTAAGAGCAACACAACGTAAACCAGGGTTTCGATTCTGGCGTCCTGTTTGACACCACCAAAGTCATAGACTACAGCAAAGGTTTCCTCCTGTAGTAACACTGGATCAATAAGAGATGATCCTTACTGGACCTCTAGGAAGAACAGTTTAGAACTGATAGAGCTATCCAGTATAAATAAAGTTAGTTTAGTTTAGGTTTCCTCCTGTAGTAACACTGGATCAATAAGAGATGATCCTTACTGGACCTCTAGGAAGAACAGTTTAGAACTGATAGAGCTATCCAGTATAAATAAAGTTCTAAAGTAGCTTAGTTTAGGTTTACTCCTGTAGTAACACTGATCAATCAATAAGAGATGATCCTTACTGGACCTCTATAGGCAGAACAGTTTAGAACTGGTAGAACTATCCAGTATAAATAAAGTTAGTTTAGTTTAGGTTTCCTCCTGTAGTAACACTGGATCAATAAGAGATGATCCTTCCTGGATCTCTAGGAAGAACAATTTGGAACTGATAGAGCTATCCATGTATGAATAAAGTTAGTTTAGGTTTCCTTCTGCAGTAACACTGGATCAATAAAGGATGACTCTTACTGGACCTCTAGAGAGAACTTACAGTTTAGAAGTGATATATGAACAAATTTATCTTTTTGTATAGTCGCCGTATGTGAACGACTCAGCGTTAAGTGTCCAGTCAAATTTCTCACTGCATAGAACTTACATCATATACAGAACTTTAGGATTACGGTAAGCCATAATAATTTGATGTTAATTGTTTCAAGTTTAGTTTAAACAAAGGACAAGATGACTGCATCCTTTTTACTCCGTTGGCAGAGCGATGCCGGAGGTTTAAAATGGCAATTTTCTGGGGGGTTTTCACATATTACGTGATATTCCATCAATCGGTCGCAGGCAACATAGCTAAAATTGACTTGGCTTCATATATGCGTTTGCAAATATTGGCACAGATCGCAAATACATATTATCGTATGGCAGTATAGTGACTACAGATTCTAAAACTTTGAATTCTGTTTAATATACTAGTTCGATACCAAAAAATAATTAAATCTCAGACCTTGTATATTATGCATCTTTGTGGTTCTGACGCTCTGCCAATTTTGTGCGAACCAATTTTGTGCGAACACGCCTGCGCTGACGTCTTGTTTCTTTTTAGGCATTTGACTGTGGTTGACAGGTGCAACAGGTTAGTCGTCAAGGTTTCTTGTAGTCTACCATACACCGGTTCATTATAGCGATTTGAAATCATTGAAACTAACTTGCTTGCAGCTGTTGTGTTGACGGAACTAATCTGAAATTTTAGGGTTGTCGGTATGATCACGAGAAAAGATCTGATGGGTTTTAATCTCGAAGAGAAAATTGGTGAAATCATCGAGAAACAGCGGGAAAACACACACTTTGAAATGACACGACCTGTGTGAGTTCATGGGTTTGTGAATAGGTATAGCTAATACATATTGCATGCTTGTTGTCTTCCAAGAAGGCACAGAATACACCCTTTCGATAATTACATCACACATACTTTTTGGTCTTGGAGCCTCGCTCTCATTAGTAAATTACGCAGGGTGATTGGCTCACGATTCATGAGAGCGAGGCTCCCAGACCAAATGTCGTAATTATCGAAAGGGTGTATTTCATTATGGTCGTCTGCGGTACAGGCTACGCGCACTGTGGCTTAATGCGTTAAAGAAAATTAATGGTTAACACAGGGTTCGTAGTCTCCAAGGCCAAAAAAATTCAAAAACTTTCAAAGATTTTTTCTGCCTATTGTCAAAGACTTTTCAACTTAGACCTTTAACAAAGACCTGCATTCAAATTTAAAGACTTTCAAGGGTGTCAAAGACCACTACGAACCCTGTATTAATAATATACAGCAATAATTCACACAACAATAACTATTAAAAGTGATATATTTTTTTATTAAAATTGATTATCCAAAAGTAATACAGTACTTGAACTTTTAAAACGTAATGCTTTTAGTTGTGAAAAAGCACAATTTTTTAAATAATATCACTAACAGAGGAACACACCCAAAGTTAAAATCCTACAGTTCACCAGGGATCACAATTTCTTTGCCTTCGAACCGTCGTACTTGGAATGCGTTGAGTACCAGATTGCATACGGAAGGAATATCGTTGGAATTGTCATCAAGCCAAATATACCCCAGTCCAACTACATGGAAATCATAAACACTTTTAGTACAACAAATAGGAGTTGTTTTTTTCTGTGTTGGTATTGTGTACTTAGGTGAGTATGTTTGTGATGTTATTCTGAGTGTATATCCACACCGGGCGAGCTTGACAAATATGCCCAGCCACGGTGGGAATCAAACCTACGACCTTTGGAATAGTAGTCGATATTACTAGATTACACTGGTATCGAAGGAACTAGATTCTGTTCCGAAATATCACATACTTGAACCATCCTGACAACATAGCTCAGTTGGCATTGGGCTAGTATTCCAAAGGTTGTAGGTTCGATTCCCACCGTGGCCATGCATATTTTTCAAGCTTGCCCAGTGTGGATATACACTCAGAGTAACATCACAAACATAATAGGAGTCGTTCTCAAAAATAATTTATTTTGACAACCTTTTGGCCATCAGACTGTGGCCTTCAACAGGTACAAGACTGATGAAAAGAGCAAGCTTATAGACGTATATGCTGACTTAGGTTGTGTTACATCATAGATTAGGAATTGTTATCGGACTGAGAAAATGTTATTTATTTTCATTTCATTATATGTAGTGGTTTCGTAGCGAGAGGCAAGCATTTCTGAAGTTGACAACATTTCAGCAAAGTCTGTGTAATTCTGCCAAATAGAATTTCTTTCTAGAATTTTAGTACTTACGACATGGGGAGCGTGTTTCCTGTTAAATGTCTTGGAGTCCATGACGTATGTCTCACCAAATGCTGTAGAATATACAACCTATGAAATAATTCAAGAACTACGAATAAACGTACGGCCGAAGCTAGACCATTCGATGATCATCACTCAAAGATTGTCAAAGAGATATCTCACTTGTTGTTCAGCATCTTCGCTCGGTTGATAGGTTACCATGGCAGCAGTAATATTGAACACGCCCGATCGCAACGGTTTCAAAATGATATTATGGGAGACATTAGCACCTCTAGAATTTATTAAGGAAAATCTGATACTGTGTTGCACATTCTATATGTAATTATTGTGCCCTCCAAACAGGTCCAGTAAGGATCATCCCTTATCGATGGTCAAATTTGTTATCAATACAGTACTTGCTGCCATTTTTATGAGGAAATCGTCAGCCAAAAATGATTCAACATGTTGAATATTCTGTGCTGATGGCACACATGATAAAAAACTCTCAAAACGTTACCACACACAAGATAACCTATGGTGTTTTGTAGAGTCGAACCGAAAGCAATTTTTTCATATCCAACACAGCAGGAATAATAATCAATGGTGACATAATGTAAAAAGGATACGGTGCAATGCTTTGCCATCTGACCGACAATTGACCACTGACAATTTCAAAATCATCAGAATTAAACGTCTCTTCTACCAATGATACTGATGTCGCTGGGCTCGAACCAACATTATAAATTGCGTAACTAACTGTAAGGTCTCGTCCTTCAACGACATACTCGTTAAGGACTCGTTTGGACACTAAAAGATGCGCCGATTCAGAGGTATCCGCTGTACAGCAACCATACAATGAGATGAATGCCACCAACAAGCTCGTAAATTTCCACTGCAAAAAACATAATTGATTTTTAATCGAAATTGTTAAGCTTAAGGCCTCAATGTTGGGTACAGTGTAGGTATACTCAGGAAAGCATCATCGTTGATACTTGTGAGCCCAAAACGAGCAGCGGACTCTGGTAAAGGCGCGATATACATTCTGATATCTTTAGTACTGGCGCTGGATAGCAAACTGTCTGTATTAGAGAGGTGTGTGTACAGGTTTTTTAAAGAAAATATAGTAGAATTATTGATGCCGGGAAATTGGACGCTGTCTGTATTAGCGGTGTCTGTAATGGAAAGGTATCCATATTAGAGCTGGCATCTGAAACTGTATCATGGAGACCCAGAGACGTTCGACCAAAAATTCTCCACACGATGCCTTGCTCAAAAACATTGAAATAATCAAAATTTGACCACTGCCTCCTTGCAAAAAGATAGAATATGCTATGATATTCAGATCTACCATTTCAAAACTAAAATCCAGTTACTCCTCGTGGTACAGAATAAATGAATAGTTGCTAATTTGCTACTCTACAAAATGTGTAAAAATACTTTTGGTATAAGCAAAGTAATCGGATAAAAACCTACACAGCAGAACTAACACTAAACTAGACTAGCAAGCATAGTTAACTGATAAAAACTATTAGATTCGTACCATTTTTACAACAATTTAGCTTTGTGCTCGTGTGTTTCTCTGTTATTGTGATTCATCAATCGACAAAAGGAACGAGAATTAGAGTATTTTGCTAATTCGGTACCAGGCGTTGCACGGTTTTAAAATATCGGAACGTGTCGGAATTCTAGACCGTTTATTGTCGAATGCAAATATGATATTTTTGCCAAGAATTTTATTTGTATTTAATGGAAAAAGGATATATTTTGGATGTATGATACTTAAAGTTTAGAGAAATACAAATATTTTGTTATAACTCTTATCATAACATCAATTTTATATTAATTTCTTTTGTCGAGGAAAAGTGACGGAGTGCTCCGATATTACTCCGAAGTTTATTCACCCAAACTCGTCCTGATTCCTGAAGTATTGAATTTACAGACCAATGGACTTATAGCATTTTATATAGTATGTGAACAGTATACTTTATATTTCATCATTCTGTTGCTATGTATTGATGTCTGGTACCTAGAAATGGCTAAGGTAGTGAGACATACAGTTTCTCTCTTCTCAAACGACCAAAAAACACTTATATCTGCAAAATTCGAGAAGGTATGAAAATTGACACTGACCTATATTGCTGTATTATGACTGGATGGTTAATGTTTACTATCCCTATTTATATATAATTGTAGTGCTGTTTATCCGTACTTGGTTGTAAAGACAATCAGATCAATGTTGATTTTGATTTGAATGGTAAAGATTTGAGAATTCAACCCGATGATCACGGTGTTAGGTTAGAGGTAGGCAAGGAATTACCCATTTTACAGAAGACACCATATACTGGGATTTTTGCCAGGAGGACCCCCTGTATACAGAAGATCCCCCTTCTGAAAGAAGAACCCCCTTCTGAAAGAAGAACCCCCTACACATAAACATTGCTTCTCATGATATCACCCTACCTGGCAACCCCGGCCTTCTCCTGGACATCTCTTCCTACACATAAAGTTAGCACCCCTTGTCACCCCCTCTTGCCAGAGAAATGTTTTCATTATGGTACTTTATTTTCTCCCACTCAGCACCCAAGCAGTTGTCCATGTCGATTCCTTACACTGTCTGACATATCAAATCTAAGTGAGAAATCCAGACAATCAGGGGTCAGAGTTGGTGTGTCGTTCGTCATTGAATCAGCCGATGGTCATGTATTACTCACCAAACGTCCCAAGGCAATGCGAAGTTTCCCTAACATATGGGTAACACCAGGTACTTTGACAAATAACTAAATTAATATGAAATAATTGGACTGGCATATGTGCCTATCACTTATTTTATGTAGTCGCCTATTCCAATTTGACTCTAACAATTAACAAACACTGTGGATTTTCGTTCGAGTACTCTATATTCAGGGCCGGATTAACCATGTGGCAGATGCGGCATATGCCGCGGGCCTCGCGCTTTACTGTGCCACGCCTATTTTTACGAGAACACGCCCATTTTCTAGTGGGACACGCCCATTTTAGGTACCTCGCGAATTTAGATGCCTCGCAAATTTAGGGACCTCGTGCATTTGTTCATAGCGAAGGAGGGGTGGGGGTTGGGGCCTTGCGCTGAAAATCTGCCACAGGCCTCGCGCGACGTTAATCCGGCCCTGTCTATATTCTTCTTGTAGTAACACTGGATCAATAAGTGAACACTCTTACTATACCTTTAGCAAGAAATGCCAAGAATAGTTTAGAACTGAAAGACCTATATCCAGTATAAAGTTAACGTTTCTCAGTAGACAGACACTGTACCTTATTAATTGTGACTTTAAATATTTTGTAGGTGGTCATATAGAGGATGGTGAAACGGTGAGAACCAAGTTATTAATTTGTGACCATATATGATAATGGTGACCCGTTTTTGCTTGGGATTGCTTCAAATTTATGTGAAGCTAACACCTTTTCTACATTTAGTTACAACAAGCAGGAATTCGTGAAGTTCAAGAAGAGACTGGCGTTTTGACAACAGATGCCAATTTTACAATGTTGGGATTGTGGGAGGTATATGCTTCTACTGGCAAGCTGTTTGAGGACAGTGTCAGTACTTAATGGTTTTTGAAATAAACATTAGTAGTAACAGTTCTCAGTGTAGGTTGTGGTCTTGAAATACACGTCCTTTGCAGTAGATTCTCACTAGCCTAAACTTCAAATTGTTGGTTCTCAGTGTAGGACTGGTATAATTTGATAAACATGTCACTACATTCCTGGTGAGATGTTTTCTCTAAAATATATTTTACTTTACAGTCAGTGTATCCGCCGGTGCTGGCAATGGGCTTACCAACGTCACATCATATTGTAGTGTACATGTTGGCACAGATGCCCCAGGCACACAGTGAGATTGAACTAACATTACAAGAGAGTGAAGTGAGTGCCGCAGCCTGGCTAGATGAATATACTGTGGCGGAGATTGTAAAAAGTGACGAGTATGGAAAAACCAGAAATGTTACTCAGAAATACTTCAGGTATAATTGAACAAACTTTGAAGCAACAAAAGAGCTAATCTGACTTTCTAATCTAGCTTTGTGCTAATCTGACGGCCACTCATCTTGTTTAACCCATTAAGCGCCAGCGCTTCTCCCCTTGACAAGTAAAATCTTCCGTCTCCCACAGTCCCGGTATAAAACGATCCATTGACCACCAACTCAGTAATCCAAAAATATGTACAGTACCACTGTGCCAAATTAAATCATTCTCTTGCTTTAATTTAGTGCAAAGGTGATAGAAAATGGCCAACAGGTTGACAAAAAACTACCACTGTCTCCGCTCATGGCGTGCATGCCTCAATCTGAAGATTGGACCTTGCCGAGACTATCCAGCGGGAGTAAGTTTGCATTACGTCAGTGGATGCAAAACCATTGTGCACCTTGACAAGACCTCAATGGATAAGATTCACACATTCCCATTCGTAAAACAGTGTGTTCCAATTTATTACAAAATAAGGCTACATTCAAAATGACCAGATGAATTCAGAACCGCACTAAAATTTTCATGATATTGCCTTTGGAGTACAGTAATTCATGTGTGAAACTGTACAAATTCAAGCCTTGCAGTTAATAGTTAGCGGTTGCAATGCTCGAATTTGTTGAAATTGTTCACATGGGAATCTGTATGGTTACTGTAGCTGCTAACCATGTTTTAGGGCAAATGATCACCAGTGAAAATACTTCATTGATCTATGGCACTGTAGTCTGTATAGCTATCTGAATAGCAGACAGCCAAGCATACAGAATTTATAATTTATGTACTAAGCCACTAACTATATAATATCTATACAATTTGATTATTTCACCAAAACTAAAACTGTTCCAACAAACATGTTTGATGTTTTTGTTAGGTCCTGAGTAACAGAATATTTCTTTGATAAAAAATTGCCATCATAACCGATTATCTTCGATTGGTTCTTCTGATTTTAATTTATTTATAAGTTTTGAAAATCCTTCTTGAATACTGTTCTTATTTTCGGAAGAACATCCATGAATTATCCAGTCATAATGCCGAGCAACCTCGATGAGGTTTAAAATATCTGTTATCTAAAACAAAATTAATTTGAAACAAATAAATATAATTATATTTATAGTCAATGGAGACAGGATAATGACGTAATATCTATTACTTCGCCAAGCCAAATTAAAGTTGGTTTGGTTTGTTAATTTTTGGAACAATATTGTTGCAAATAACAAGAATAAAATGTAAACGCAATCTTTAATACCTCTACCAAGTCCTTAGCATCACTCAGATCCTGTTTATTGGCAAGAACTAACAATGGAAGGCCAGCGAGAGTTGAGTTACGAAGGACCTTAGCAAGACTTTGTGCTGCCTCATTCAGGTGACTACTGTCCGAACTGTCCACCACGAAAATCTTTGATTGTATAAAAAGTAAAGGAAAGAAATTGAGAAATGATATAAATCAAACTCTTAGAATCAAATTTTGCTTGGGAATATTTTTGTAATATTTTCTCATACAATGCCTTGTGATCCACCATAATAATGAGCCCAATACTGTTCTACACCACCTGAAAAAAATACATATACCATCGTAAAATTATTTTTTGAACTTGGTGAACCATAGCTATTTGTCAGTCTTCACAATCACAGATTTTTTCTGTTGGTCGTCCCTGTCTGTCTGTTATGTCATAGCCCTGTGTTTTGCCTTTCCATCTGTTCGATCTTGGTGTTCTGTTTAACTATATTCAGTTGCTTTTAACATTTAATTGTTTGTATATTCTGCCTGTTGTACCTGTCTATTCTACCCGTCTGTCAAACTGCTCTGTCCGATGGCTTTGTACAATATTAAAGCGTCAAGCATGACCATACCTCCCAGCTCTTTGACATTCAGAATGGCATCAGGAAATTGCAGTGCTTTGATTGAGAATCCTAGCAATCATTTAAAAAGAAATTCATAAAACGTTCCTAACAAGTCATTCACACTTAGAAATATATACCAAGTATATACAGGACAATGCAGATTGAGGGAGAGCTAGGCAACTAGCTGAACTCTCAATTTGCAGCTGTCCTGTTCAAGTCTACGCACCTTGTGTCGGTTGAACATCACTTGACTCTTCATTGGCTAATATTGCAAGTAGCGTGGACTTCCCTCCATTATCGAGTCCCAGAGCCACAATTGCATATTCGGGTCGGGCAGGTGCGGATTGATGGCAACACTGTGCAGAAACGGGAAATCAGAAAGTCAAGAGATCAGACAACTTCTACTAATATTGGCAGGTGATGAATGTCGTCATTATGTCATACTGATCATGAGGAAATTTGACTCATCAACACTGTATTCATTTTACAGACTGATCGTATTAACAAAATATCGTATTAACAATATATATCAACTGCATTTTCTGGGCAGAAAATTTGATTGTAACAATTAAGACCTGTCTTTAGATTACATAATAACGTCACGTTACATAACGTTACATTACATAAGAACGTTTTACATTTATACATAACGTTACGTATTTCTTTTATATTTTAATACGGTACTTTTTTCATTGTACCTTTTAAAATCATTAGTTTATGCTTCAGACTTTTTGTGATTTTAGATTTTACTTATTCTTTGAAGGTGTAGATGATTTTAATTAGTGATCGATCCATGTTTGTAGAATATGATCTTGTAAAATTTTATAAGACTACAATCCAATTTGTAATTTACTAATTTAATTTCCCAAATCTATTAAACCCACCTTATAAAAACCGATTCTGCAGAGAGCACAACCCAATCTACACCAGTCACACATTAAAACATCAAGCAGAAGTCCTTTCTTAAAAACCTGATCGCGATCAATGCATGTCGTATCTGGAAAACACTTGAAAATATTGAAAAGATTATTACAATATTGTTTTTGTTTACATTAATTTACCGCCATTCCAATATTTATATGGATATGACGGGATATTGATGGATATAAGATCCGTTTTCCGAAATTGTACTATTATACTGGAAGTTATCCCAATTTATCCCTATATATGGGATATAGCAGGATATTGATGAATATTAGACCTTTCCGAATATTGTACTATTCTACTGCAAATTATCCCTATTTATCCCCAACATATGGATATGACAGGATATTAGACCTGTTTCCGATTTTTGTACTATTCTACTGTCAATTATCCTTATTTATCCCTAATATATGGATATGGCAGAATATTGATGGATATTAGACTTGTTTCCCGAATTTGTACCAATCTACTGCAAATTATTCCTATTTATCCACGTTTCGTGTCCAAAAATATTTTCCATGTCATTCATGTTTTTGTATGTCAGGATTTCCTGCATTTGACGTTCGAGTTTTGATTGAATCTATCTATTTTCAAAATGTCTTTTGCTGGGTTTAAAAAGCAATGGAACAAAGCGAACCAGGTAGGAAAAATAGGCGACCGGCAATTATTTTATCGCCTTTATTCTATCGCGTTTAATAACTAGGAAATATTAAACGTTGCTGTGTTTAATACCGTATATTGCGAAATTATACAGCGAGCTTTTGACCTTTTGTATGCATTTACAAAACAAATCAGCATGGATAATTGCAGTTTAGATTTGCAGAACTTTATAAATATTTTAAAACCATTTAATATTTCCGTTTTAAGAAAGGAAAGATACATGTTTACTGTGTATACAATATTTAGGCAAAGCTCAAAGAGGAACGCATATAAAATATATTGTGTGTATAAAACTGCTTTGTCATTTTGTTGTATTACGACTAACATGTTTTAAACGATTTCCGTTGCAATTATATAGTTTATGAGTGAAAAAGTTGGCAGTGTAAAAGGTACACAGTTGGACGAAGAATTTCAAGATTTAGAAAAGGTAAATCAAAATATTATATTTTGTGATTAAAATCTCATATATAAATGTTGAAATACGGCCAATTTATTAGCTTATTGTGTTTGGGTGTGAAAGTGTCATTTGGGAATAAACAACTCATAAAACATACGAGGTTTGCAAGTTTTGTGTGAAATTTTTAAGTACTGTAGTTTTGTATATGAAAGAAATGTTTATGTTGCAGTAAGGGTTTGTTTTGATACTTTAAAAATTGATACATTGGGGTTGATTAATGATTAACTTTAAGAAACAGTGGGTGGTCTAAAATGTGCTTTATCAAATATGCTTTTTATTAAAGCTTTTTATGTAACTATTAGCAATTATATGGAATTTGAATTTCAAATTTAGTGTTTTGATTTAGTCTTTTGTGACCAACTAATGCTTTAATGTTAGTGGGTGAATACTGCCCTTGGAAATGTTAATGGGCTACCTTCACAATGAAATCAGAGTACTGTAACTTTTAAAGTCGGTTTATTTTCTAGATGACAGATGCGACATCTACTATTGTTACCCAACTCATCGTCAGAACCAAAGAATACCTACAGCCAAATCCTAGTAAGAACTTGGTCATGAAATTATCAGAAAATTATCTGAAAATGTAATTGGCTGGCAATGGGGGCATAGCCAATCCCAAATGAATGGGAGGGTCTAATCATCAAATACATAGAACAATCAGGGGTCTATTTTTAGGGTTTGCAAAACACTTCAGTATTTCATGCATTTCAGACATGTTTTACTATTGTTCCCAGTAAACTGCAAAACGACCATTTTTACGAAGGACATATTTGTGTACCTTGTGATCACAATTCGTTGAGAATAAAATTAGACAATAAAATTAGAAACC